GAGAGAGAGAGAGAGGCTAAGGAAGAAGAAAATGTTTAAAGAAATCGTGAAAATAGGGTTTTATGATAAAATTTGTCAAAAAACATTTGTACCGTATAATCTATGAAAAGTATTACGGTAGTTTGAGTACCGTAATTGGAGATATAACGACATTAAAAGTGCCGTATAAGCAAATTACGGTTAAAGTACCGTATAAAACATGCTAAACATTACGGTATTTTTATTACCGTATAAAATTTGCTAATCATTACGGTACTTAAATTATTATAATGTTCTTCATGATAAAACGACTACCTTTAAGGTTATTTTCGTAAAAAAAAAAAAACGAAAATGACAAAAAATGGTGTAGACAAGGTTTATGAAAGTTGGGGGTTTGTTTTCAATTAAACTAAAATATAGGTATATTTGTGATAATTTCCCTATTTTAGAAGGAAAAAGCTACTAAAAGGACACACTTATAATGAATAGTAATATATGTGTAATCCCAACCGTGAGATCTTATTGTATGCTTAAAAATACATATCACCATTAGAATTTTAATTTTTTTTTATACAAATTGGATCGAGATGAAATTTTGGATGCATATACTTGACACCACCGCGCATCATATAAAAATATTAAAATATATTTTCAAGAATTTAAAATGACCAAATTACTCCCATCATTTTTAGGGGAATTTTGGTCATTATAAATTTTTAAAATATTTATTGTATGTTTTTATTGTGTACCTTATTTTTAAGAACACAAGCTTAAAATTTCACTTAAAGAAAAGCTTAAAATTTAAATTGTGACATGAATTTCAACTATCAGATCTAATTCTAGAATTCCACCTATACTAATATTAATTGTAAATGCCACCTTTTGGTAGTTTTTTTTTCCTTTCTAAAATATTGATAAAAGATAATCACAAAAATATGGATACCACGTGGGTGTATATCCCACTGAAGAGAGAAAAGATGGAGCTTTCTCCCATCCAATTCCATTATTATTCCCCTTAAGCAAGAGAACTGCTTCATCTCCACCGTCCACTATTGAGAATAGAATAGGGAGATTGCATGTAATCTACCGGTAACATAACACTTGAAACACAGCATACAATACCTAAACATTAATGGAATTATTTCTTAATCTTACTCCTTTCCCATTTAACGTTCCAACAAGATTTTATGCTCCCACACGAGCATATTGTTCATCCACCATCTAGTAAAATCCTATATAGGAGTATTCTGGGACCTCGGATATAATCTCCTCAATCTAGCGACTAACCTAAAAAAAAAAGGGAGACCATATTGCATGTATGCCTCAAAACATAATGTCCTAAGATGAACAAAGACCATACAACTTGTTGGTGAGAATTATATGAACCCCTTTAACTTGAATTTGCCACAAATGCCCCCCAATACTTTTTTATTCACACTATAGACGTCATTACCATTTTTCTTTGCACTGACATGCGCTGAATCTTTTAAGGTAAGCTCAACCTTGAGAAAAGTTCTTAGAGCCAAGGTCAGGCTGGCTCTATAAGAATTGAACTGGCCTTAAATTTAAAAATTTTTGTGTTTGACTAAGCGGGGTTTTTTTATCCAAAGTGACCTAAAATATTCACCCAAAGGTTGATGCAAAAACCTATCGCAAAGTTATGGTACGAATAAAAAACTATTAGGGGGTGTGCCTGTGTATGAAGCTCGGTGAAGGGAGGGTTTTATGTGATTTTCCCTTTTTCATTATCAATTTGGTAATTCTAAAGTGGATCTCGAATTCTTAGATGGGTAAGAGTGGCCATTTAGTATGTCGTAGGAAGAGAGAAGTTAAGCGGAGGATCTTTCAGGGCCATGGTTCAGAGAGAGAAGTTTATTATGAGGGACGGTCGGCTCATAAAAAGGGAGGAAAAAGTAACAGAGAGTAGCTACCCTTGTTTTGACAAAGCTTTTGCTGAAATTTGACAGAATAATTCTTTTTTAAGTCTCTAGTAAACAAAGCAAAGAAGAATGATTGAATAAGGCTAGGAATTTGGCTTGGGTCAACTTCTAACCTTGTCAAAAAAAGAAAAGAAAAGAAAAAGTTATTGAATAGGTCTTACCGAAATCCGTCATTTTATATCTCCAACCCTAACAAATGCTGTCTGCAAGCTTTTTGTGTAATACTTGAAAGGATATTATGATAAAGCACGGTGTGTATATTTTTCAAAAAATTCTTTATTTCTACACCGGCAAGGTCATTTACAGTGTTCAACTACAATTAAACCACTCTTAAAAACAAAAATAAAATCCATTCTCAATTGTTACCCCTTCAAATACTATTCTTTTATTCAATAAACAAAACTAGACTTTTATTACTTTATGGGAAAAGAAAATCAAAACGTAAATAAATATTTACAAAGGTAAAATTGTTGGAGATTACCTCAACCGGGCTTAATACACACCACGCCGAGTGTCCTCCTTGCAATGGTGCTCGGGATCTTTAATCGGTACGTTGATTTCTCTATTATGGCAAAAATCCACTCAATGGCTTAATCTTGATCAAGCTTCTTAGTTTGATTTTAGAGGGATGAGATATGTATATCAAGAGAGAGGGAGAGATCTACTAGCAAGAGGTTCACCCCTTTGCTACCCAAAAAAAAACACCACCTAAGCTTAAGCGTGCCACCCAAAGAGAATTCCCCAAAGAGAAAAAGACACCCAATACAACTTGGAGAGAGAGAGATAAAATTGGGGTGTTCCTCAAAATTGGGACACGACTATCTTTGGTAATCTTTCCAGAGAGAGCTAAATTTTGAGATAGAGAAAGAGAAAATCCATACATAATTTGTTAAAAGGGGAGACCTCCTTTTATAGATTTTCTATGCCATAGATTTTGCCTCAATCCGTAAGGTCAAATCTCAACTGTCGATTTAATGAGAGTTGTGAGGTGAGAGATTTGAGTCATCCATCTCTTTGATCTACCATCAAGATTCAAAGAGATGAGCTAGAGCCTTTTCCCCCTTTCCTAAATCAATTCCCATCAAATAAAGAAAACTTATATTTTAATATATCAAATACTTAATTATTGAATCGAGATTGTCATTAAATAAAAAAAACTTATATTTTAATATATCCAATCATTAATTATTGAATCAACCAATCTTGATTCAAAGACTTAATAAATATCTCAAATATTCAACATTATCATGACTATACCCAAAGATAAGCCAACAACAAGAGATAAACATTCTTCCCAAAAAGAATATATGAATGGGTAGGACGCGCCACCTATGTGGGCCCCACCTAATCCACATGTATGTAAACTTTGGACCCCATATTTTATGAAGGTCCGAGTAAAAAATATTTTATTTCATATTTAAAATTTTTTTAAATCTTATATTTTATTTAAAACATTGAAAATTTAATTTCACTTAATTTATAAATCCAAATGACAAAAATAAAATCTAATAAGATTCCAAAAAATTCAAATAAACATTCTAAAATCAGATAGCATAAAATTAATTATAATTAATTAATTTTGATGAGAATCGGATCCATTAGATCTAGAAAATTATCAATATATGGGAATACTCCATCTTCAACTGCGAATCACAATCCGCCTAGCTTTCTCAAACTAGCCCAACAATTCCCATGACCGACAGTCCACTGCAGGGGTTCATGATTAGACCACCAAAGTCAATTAATAGAGTAGAAGACACAATTCCAGTTTATAGATTTCAAGTTCTTCCCTAAAGACAAAAATCATGATCCTCCAGATCATGATGCAATCATGACTCTATGGTGCATAAGGTAATCTCTCGCACATGTACACGCTTCACCCTTATTGGTAAATTTCTAAACAACTATCTATGTACATGCGTATGATGATATAACGATGAGGTTTTAGCCATGTCTCTAAAGGCTATTCATCACACGTAAGAGCTACACAGTCACTTGACTTTTATCTGGACATACTTCGATATCATCAAGGGATAACCCACTAAACCCTTCTCGGTAGATCCATATGCCCAAGTATCTTGGGTTTTTTCAAACCTCGACTGGCCTAGCTCATCGAGTCTAATCCGAGTATCAGCAAATAACATTTGCCTAATATGGTCTACGAAAGAACCACACTCTCACTGAGTTTATGTTTCATTTATTAAATATATTTTACACAGTCTCTTATAAAGCCTTTAAAGACTACATAAACCCAACAACACTGGTCACAAATATGGGATTATTTCCATGGGCTAATCAGGTTTCATATGAACTGATGATCAAAAGTTTGAGGAACAATGATTGATTTTAGAAAATATAATGCATTGGAGATTTAATATACTATCTGCAGTTTGGATGGGCGCTAAGCATAGTCAAGTGGTGAGGCATCTCAACACCTAAGGATCTTCTGCAACTACTTTTTACAATCAAGACATTCATATTAAGCGAAAACACAATCCCGTCACCAAACAATTAATATGTCATTACATTGCAAAATAATGAAGGTCAACAACACAATTTAATAAAAAAAATGTTGAAAACATTCATTCACTTCATGGATGAAAAAGAACTATAAATGGTTACAACAGGCTACTGTGTTCTTCGCAAAGTCACTTGGTGTGACAGTAAAAGGCTCGGGTAGCCAGCACAAGTGCGAGGGTTCGAGTCTTGAGAGCGGCTACTTTGTGCATAAAAAGCGAAAAGTTAGAACTGTCTCTAGCTTACCCCTCTTGGGGCCCTGCGTAGGCGGGACCAGCACTGGGTTATGGCCCTTTTTTACAACAGGCTTACTATCTCCTTCGCAATAACTTCAAAACGTCTCCGACAAGATGCAGTGATCCTGTCACAAGAACCTGTGATGATAAAAGGAATTATTGATGATGCCATTACAATTCCCCATAGAGTGTAGACGTGTTAAACATTTCAAAAGGAACTTGCCCAGTTTTAATCATAATTAGCAATTCCTATAAATAACAAGCACCACACTCAAAGAGAAAAAGTGATTCTACTTGTTATGTACCTTTGGTTATAGAAAAGAATTTAAGCCCAATTGAGATATCATGTCTGGCAAGCATAAACAACAAATAATTCAAGGAGTAATTGAAAGAGTGAAAGCATATTTTTTACCTGAAGCCTGAGGTTAGGATCTCCTTTGACACATTTCCTCAACCACTCAAGTGCCACCGGTAGTGAAGGTATCACTGCACTAGAAGTGAGGTTGCTGCTTCTAAGATTGCAGTTCAGAGGATGATCCTCACCTATGAAATCATAAGATGGTGGAAGCAACTCTGGGTCACTCAACTTTGGATTCTCTTCAAAATTTGCATCTGTTTTTTATACATAAAATGAAGGGATCCATGAATTTAGTTCAATTAATTCCCAATTGATTGACCAGGGATGAATCTCAAATCGGTAAGAATTTAGGGAATTTAATCACCTGTTCCATGGATAATTCTCTCCCAGGTTTTTTGGAGTCTAAATTGCCATGATAAGTCCTTAGTCACATCAGAAGGTATTGCCGACATAGCAGAATCAACCTTACTATATGTTGATAAACTTGGCACCAAAAGAGCTTTGGAGAAGAGGACACCTGAACATGTCAAACCCTCACAATCGGGCAAGAATCTACATTAATCATGCACCATTCTTTCAATAAGAGCCACATCATAATATATTGTACAGAGAGATGTGATGCACACGCAGATGGGACTGAAAATAACCCTCAATATGCAGGATAACAATAAAGAATGCTTGCTGTATGTCTCCAAAAGGCAGTGTACCTTGTGCAGCACAAATTCTGACGAGTTGCGGAAGTAGGAGCTGAGGGTCTCTCACTTCCATGCAGTTAAACAAAAGAACCTAGCCAGAAAGGACAAGCATCGACGTGACCAGTTAACATATTTTACCTAACTATGCAAAGTACACCTTTGAAAATGGAAACTTGGCAATGAAGAACAAGAAGGTAGCAAGAAATGGCATATATATTAACCTGCTTTGAGATTTTATGAGATTTATCCAAATTGTTTGGCTCATGTTGATTGTTTAAATTTTGCCAACTACAATCAACATTGCCATCATTGCAAAGATATATATCCTCCCTTACAGCACGAGCGAACCACCTTGCACAAACTTCCATACTTTCAGGGCTATGTGCTCCATCCAAATAAAATATCAGGTCACCAAAAGAAGAGTTTTCATTCCCTTCACAAGATTGAACCAAGGGATAACGGAAAATCTGGGCACGGCCAGATAGACATGCCGTTGAAAGACCTCTTCTAAAGGCCTCTGGTAAGTAATTGGATTGGTCGTTCACCTGATTATTAGTCCAGAGAACATAAGAACAACATAGGAAGGTGTCAAACTTCAAAATAAATAAAATAAAATCAGCACAATAATGAGAAGAGGGGCTTCAATGGAACAGACAGTTGTGAATCCAAAGTCTTCAGAGTGTCCAGTTCTTTCAAGCCAACATTTACAAAGTGAAACAGCAAGTCCTGCATTGATTAATTGATGATCACCGGCCAACCCAAGCTTTAAACCACCTAACTTATTTAAGTCAAGTGAAGAAGCTACATGGAGGGGAATCTGCATCCAGGAACAAAAGTAGAATCATTTATCCAAGCTCTAATCCAAATTATGGTTGATGTTCAAACAAAAGATTAAATACAAACTAAATGAGATAACAAAAAAAAATTTAAAAGGAAAAAAAAAGACAAAAAGTAGCATTGCAAAAAGCTGCAAAACATCTATTCATGCTATGGATATTTTTAAAATTATTTAAAAGTTCAGTAATTCAACCCAGCTTACCATCAATTCTGAGGCCCTCTTTTGAAGAACATCCATTGCTTCTGAGGCTTGAATCACTGTAAATGCTGGCACACGAGGCTTCATGGATGGGAAACATATCGATAGTTTTCAGACTATAATAAACAACAAAAAATTGAAATGTTGATATGCATTTTTGCTAAGCAGAAAATTGCAGACTACTAGCTGCATTTACTCAAAAAGTTAATAATACTTTACCTTGAATATCCCTGCTTTTTCTGAAGCAATTTGTCCCAAGGTATTTCCTGCATAAAAATTCATTGATAGTTTTGGAAATAAATCCCCATTATGTGCCCTCTTAATATTTTCAAGGAATTTGAATTCACGGGAAAATTTTTTTTGTAGAATTTGTGGCTTTGTTAACCAATTATTGTGAGGTCGAGGAAATCTAATTAGTATAAATAAAAAGCATGCAACTTTCAAAAAATTGCAGATCTATTTATCCAACCTGAAATTTTGAACACAAATTATCATGGTATTTATCAGAGTCTGTGCGGAGCAAGTATCAGAGTGAGATTTGAGTGAAAAGAGTATTTTCTTTGCCTTTATCATTGCTTCTCAGGAGTGGCCGATCTGTGAAGGTCAGTTCCTAAGAAACCACTTCCCCCGTGTGTAACTCTGTTAGGCTAATCTCTCCTTATACACCTAAGTACATTTAATCGTCTCTCTACACACCAGACCAGTACACACACCCTTCTCTTTTTCTCTATTGAGTGTCTTCCTTAAGCAAATATTCTTGGGTCTTCCTCTCTATAAACCTTCTCATTTCACTTTGACTACTACTCCCACCTTGTCTTGTTCTCTGTGCATCTTCCTTGTGGGAAGCGAGAGGTTTGTGAAAGCAGCAACTTCTTTTCCCTCTCATGGGAAATTAGTGCAGGAATCACCCCTTCCCCTTTCCCTTTATCGGTTAATTTGGAGCCACGCTACATACCATATTTTGATCCCTTGTCCAACCTCCCATCCAACCACTCCCTTCACCTCCTCACTCTCTACTATTACTCGGCTTGCATAGGCCGCTTTTTCTTCTCAATCTTGTGAATTTCCTCACCTTTTTGTCACTCTACAGTACTCAACCACAATGCACCTCTCCCTCGTAACCATGGGTTTGTCCCCCAGCCTACTGATTATAAGAAGTGCAGTAATTGGCTTTTCACAGATAATTGCATTGTGACGTGGATCATGAATTCAGTTGAGCACAAAAAAGAGTGCAACCTCACATATCAGCTCGTTGCAGAAGTCAGCCCGTTACAGAAGCTTTGTGGGATTACTTAAAGAATATTCACTCGATATCCCTATTTGGTCTATCAACTTGGTAAAGCACTTACAATCATAAGTAGGCTCCACGTAGGGTTGTAAAAGGGTCAAGGCAGGTCCAAGTCACCCTGACTAGGATTAGACTTCATTAGGTCCTAGTTAGACTCAGACCTGATCCGACATGTCGAGTAGGGTCCAATTGTATATAAATATGTATAATTTATCATATAAATAATATTATATAAGGGGGTGGTTTGCATAAGGTTGCAACCTTAAACAATCTAATTAAGGCACACCTCTAAATTTTAATTTTGATATAAAAAATTCTTAGGATGGCTTGAGAATCTATTTTCATTTCTAATTATAAAAATTTAAACTCTAAATGGTTCAAATCAAGTAGATTTATAAACAGATGAAAATCTTGAAAATTGACAGTCCAGATAATGTGTTGCAAGATACACTATTTTGCTGACTCGAAATCTTTTTTTCTTTTCATATTCATACATCTCGATGTCGAGACTTTTCATGTTCATATATCTCGATGTCGAGATGATCAATTAGAGGGTTTTTCAACATCCAGAGAACCTTTTATGATGGATTTTTTAGCTACATCTTGAATTCTACATTTTAAGGTTGCAACCTTCTACAAACTTTTTCCTATATATAAATGTATACGGATATGTATTGGGTTGCCTCAAGTCGTATTGGCCCTGACCCAAGCCCAACTGGACTTGATAAGGTTAGGGATGGACCCAGACCAAACTAGGTCAAATGGACATAGGGTCCATAACCAAGTTGGGCCGGCCCGACCCGTTTGATGCCCCTAGCTCCACATGCATGCTTTGAGGCTTCAAGCAATTCAACCTCACAAATCACCCTAGTGCCAAAGCAACATGGGATTACTTAAAGAAGATACACTCAAGATCCTTTTTGGTATCTCGACTTCGTAAGGCTCCCCATTGTTTAGGCACTTTCAAACTGCTGGTTCTTGCAGCTAGCTTCATTCAAAGCAAACACAATCGCTCCATGTTTGTTCCTAGAGAGAGGAAAAGAGAAGGAGGAAGGAGAGAGTGAGAAGACCTACAACAAGTAATGGCATTTGCATATTTTTAATATATGTTGAAACTTCATTTGCAGGAACAATTTCAAATAAGGACCTTGGGAATGTTCCTTATTTACTTGGGCTCGAGATCACTCGTTCTACACGCAATACGTACATCAGTCAACAAAACTACACACGTGATCTTGTTTCAAGTGCTAGATTGATTGATGCCAAGGTTGTTGATACTATCATGGATCTCAATGTCAAACTCTCTACTCATGTTGGATATATCCAGACTACAATGTATGCCAGGCATGTAGGCTCCCCTATTTAGCTCTCCACAACATGCTCCGATATGGCATATGTTGTCCATGTGGTGAGCCAGTTTGTTTCAAACCCTTAATGGTCCCCTCTCAATTGTTCACCATTGTTTATTCATTAGCTCATCATTGATCATGAAGAATATCAGGAAACAAGAAACTATATCCAATTCAAGCAATGAAGCTGAGTACTGCACTACAAACTCTGTTGCCATTGCCAATGAGGTAGTCTGGGCTTGTGCTCTTCTTAATGATTTTGTTATCAACACTTCCAATCCTACATCCTTTTACAAATATAATCAAAGAGACATCAAAATTGCGTCTAACTTGGTGCGTCATGAGTGAACAAAGGATATTGATGTGGATGGCCGTTATGCTTGTGATCGCTATCTTGGCGGTACTTTATCTCTCCATTACCTCTCTTCTACTAAACAGAAGGCTGATATTTTCACCAAACTGGTCACTCAAATGGGACATAATTTCTTGTGGACACGCTGATCTTTTAAACAGAAGGCTGATATTTTCACCAAACTGGTCACTCAAATGGGACATAATTTCTTGTGGACACGCTGATCTTTTGCTCATGCTAGAATCAGCTTGAGGGGGGTAATGATGTATAATTGTGTAATAATGAATAAATTCAGCTTGAGGGGGGTAATGATGTATAATTGTATATTATCAAATAAATACAATTGTCTTATATTGTCATTACATATCAGTGCAGGTTTTATTCTAACCTAGTAGGGTTCCATTATTTTTCTCAAAAGATATTTGATCGAAAGAGCATCTCCCTCCCTCCCTCCCTCCCTCCTCTCGTGCCTTCATAGCTAAACATCTCTCTCTCTCTTCATTTTTTATTTTTCTACGATTGTTTGTTGCAAAAAATGATTATTTTGTGGTAGCATGTGTCGCTTCTTTGGAGGACGCTTAAGTTCGAATCCCATGATTGGGACATTGCTCTTCAGAAATTTTCCTACTAAATATATGATGAGTTTTCAATATTATTGGTACGAGTTTCTGCTAGAAACTTGGTATGACTTTCAGTAATAATTGGTACGAATTCCATGGATAATTGGTAAGCATTTCTAGTAGATAGATATTGTTTCAATTTTTTTATATTTGTATGATAAGTACCCGAAATAGTTTTGTCCACCAGTAAATGACCCAGGTAACTATGGACAAGCCAAAAACCTGGCTTGGCGTTGATCTAGAGCTAACTTGCTATTTCCATGCGCAATAGTGCCGATCACCCCAGCTCAATAGACCATGACAAGAATGTAAAAGAGATCAGTATTTCTCCCATGAAACAAATGCTCTGCCCTCCCTCCCTCAAAGTCTCTTCAAGATCCCCTTAAAATGCTGATTTTCAGCTTTTGAATAAATGTTAATAAGAACTTGAGTTCTTATCAAGTGTTCTGAATTTTTTTTTATCATCATCATCACCATAGCCTTTTCCAAATTCATTGGGGTCGGCTACACGAATACTAGTCCGACAGTCTAATCTATCAAAGGTCATACCCTCAATGAGGCCATAAGTCTCCATATCTTTTTATGCTACTTCCAACCATGTCCTTTTGGACCTACCCCTTGCACTTTTCACTCCTTCCACTTGAACTAACTTGTACGTCCAACAAGTGTTATACTGAGTTAGTGCCACACATGGCCAGCCCACCTAAGTCTATTCTCTCTCATCTTATCGACTATTGATCCCGCACCTAAATTTTTTTGAATGGATTTATTTTGAATGCTATCCCTTCTTCTCTTGCCACTCATCCATCTCAACATCCTCATCTTCGCTACACTCATTCTATGAATATATTGTTTTTTGTCCGCCCAACATTCTGCCCCATAGAGCAAAGCTGGTCTCATACCGTCCTATAGAACTTGCCCTTCAACATTGTTGGTATGCGGTGATCACATAAAATTCCAGTTGCACATCTCCACTTTGCCCACCCAACTCTAATTCTGTGTGCGACATCTTCCTCAATCTTTCCATTTTCCTGTATTATCAGTCCAAGATATCGAAAGTGTGGTTTTTTTATACTTCCTGGCTGTCAATCTTAACTAGTTCCTCGTCTCTACTCCTATTATTACTAAACTTGCATTCCATATACTCTGTCTTAGTCCAACTAATTTTTTTTTTAAAAAAATTAAACTATGTTCTAGAATTTTTTTACGTCATCCAAAAAAAATGAAGTGAGTCCTAAAATAGATAGAAAGTCCAATTCATTAATAAATAAACAAATAAAGACGCTAGCTAAGGCCCATCCAAGTTCTTGGGCTGAAAGACCAAAACCAGCAGTAATTCCAGTAATATGGGCAGGAGATCATAAAATAAAGCTCCAAATTGCTCCTTTAGTTACATAAAAAAAACATGTTAATCTTTAAGAAAAGGGTTTAATTCAGGCCCAAAATGATCTTTTGGCTCTAAACAAGGATTTATATTAGTAAAACAGCCCAAGGGCCAAAGAACCATTCAAGTCATGCTAAATACCAAGGGGTGGTTCAGGCTTAGAGTTGACCATGTCAAGTGATTTTTGTGTGATTACCCCCAGCTGTCTTGACCAATAGGTTAGGTCAATAATTGAACCAGAACTATGGGGAAGACAATTTGCCAGTTTCTTGACTTGTATGGACTCATGCAAGTGAGTGGTTCATCAGTTCTTGAACAAGAGTGTTATCCTCTTTGCTCCTCTACACATTTTCTGAATGATTAGATTCATGCAATGGGTAGCACCAAGAATTAAAAGTGAATACATTAATGATCACTACAATACATGTTACTTAAATCTTACAATCACCGGAATTATCATTCCCCACTGCAACCTCTATATGACTTTCATCTATTACAGATAAAGCAAACCCCTAGCATCCAAGACTTTATCAAAAGTGTCAAGGATCAAACAACTGTGGTACATAGGGAAGTCACGTAACAAGTATCAATCCCGTGTTTCCACTTATTAACATAAAAAGCAAAATTCTTTGACTAATTTTTTAGCTTTCTTCTTTGTTAGGGGACAAGGTAAGCAATGGTTGATTTAAAAATGTATATGACTTTCATTTGTGGCTTTCCAAGCTAACACTATCATTCAAGTGGTTTGATGTGATCTAGTTATATACTGAATCAAGTTCTAATCTAAGGGTCACAAGTTTTATGATGGATCTGGTGACACACTGAAGTGAATCCTAGCCTATGGTTTGACATGTTTTTATGCTGAATCTCTGACAGGATGTAGATGCCGATGGCTAAATTGATAAGGACAACATTAAGCATGAACATAACTGGTTCCAGCACTGCCAAATCATGAGTTTTAACTTCAAATTATCAAGTGACTAGTAAATAAACTTGGACTCCTGTTGACTTTCAATGTTGCCCTTCAGGACCGGTCACATTACGTAAAGGAATGATAAAGGTAAAGGAAATATAAATGGGATGAAGGCATGAAAGAAACTTAAAAGGCCCACTTTTCAAGAAACATATAGAATAAAGTAAAGAAAGATCTTAATAGAAGCTTAATGAGCTATTCAACCATGCACCAGGATTCTCCCTGTATTTTACTTATTGGAAGCATAACAGGAATGGAGTAATTTACAAGTTTCAGAGTTTTAAGGATTCTCTGGATTTGGCTCATTGTTCATAAAATTTTGTTTTATTCATGAAATATCTTGATTTTGGAAGACAATGCGTTACTTATTCCTCACACGATTTTAAGAACCCACTGACACCATAGCAGGTCCCAAGCATGCTTTCTATACAGGTATTCTAGCTACTAACATGCATGAGCTAGCCAAAGTCATGTGAGTATAGTAAATAAGAAAAGCCAGCCATTGACTAGCCCAGGAGAAACAATGTTTGCAACTGATATGTCAGGTTTTATTCCATTCAGATGACTTGGCATATTTTATTTCCATCAAAGATTCATCAGCACTTAAAAACAATCATATCAAATAATTTGCGCATAGCTTTTCAGTTCTTCTACATTCCAGAAGTTATAGAAACTTATAATCATTTCCAAAGAAAACATATGCATTTCTGAACAAGCAAATAATACTTTTAGAGAAAAGAGGGTACCTAATATTTCCATATGATCCATTCCTAGAGAAGTTATCCCACAGACAATAGGTTCTTTGACCTGGAAAGTTGTTTCACTGAAATTAAATAATATTTTAAGTTTATTTATTAAAATGCTTTAGTTCCTAAACACGGACAGTGCACATTGTTTGAGAACCACTGCAAGTTCGATAACAAATTGAAAAGGGTTAAGACTGTTAAATGTGGGCATTGAAGAAAAGAACTCATCACTTGCATAATATAGGTCATACACACTTACCACATTAGTCGAGTCCAATCTTCCACCCAACCCCACCTCTAGGATTGCAACATCGACCTAAAACCCACAAAGCAAATGACTTAACATGGTTACACCATTACAGAGATTGCAACAAATCGACACAAAAGTCCTATTCCAGTATGACAAACAAGGAATTTGGACAAAATTCTACTGTTGAAGTCAATTGAGTTTCATGATGTTGGACTTTAGGGTTCCAATCTCATTGCTCATATATACAATTAGCATAGTTCTAATTCAAATAGGCAAGTAATTGACACTACAATTTATGCAATTCTAGCCGATGAACTTAAATATAATACAATTATGTCTACCACCTAGCAAACATCTGCTACAGTGACATGCTACAATTGTCATTTGAAGCTTTCCAAGAAGTTGCAAGACTGTCTTCAAGTGTTTGAACGCATTTTTCAGCACCTTGGTCCTTGATGCGGAATAAAGAAGAAGCAGGTCAATAAAGCCTACAAAACAGTGGAAATTTCGACAATCACAAAATGGCCCCAGAATTGGTCAAGATCTTCATCAGCACTCCAAAAGTCCACCTACCAAGTTTCATCACACTCCGACATGTCTAAGGCAGTGAACAAAAAGAAACAATTTTGGAAAAATTGGCCTCTAGCACCCTGAAATGGACCCTGTAACAAGAACTATATTTTTGGTGTGTCAAACAGTTGCGGGACCACCTCCATTGGATCCGGCACGGTCGAAAACCCCTATGTGTTTAGTTTCGGCTTAATCAGGCACACTCCAGAACAAAGTTATGGGTAAAATACCAAAAAGGGGTAGGCCGCACACTATTCCCGTGTAGCCACCCTGCATCAAAACACAATTAAAGGTGGTTGTTTTCACAATCACGGGCAATGACTTTCGGGGCCCATATCTTACTTGTTCCGAGTAGCGTGGCTCTCAAATTTTGTGAGCGTCTCGTCAAAACGAGTGTTTTGATATGTAGTACGCCCCTTAACGATGCCCGAGCAGGGAGAAAACCTAGAAAGAAGTTGCTGATCCGTGAAGAAAGTTTGCAAAGAATTCTGCAGCAGCACGCCTCACTCCGTCGACCAAATCACAACGCTTACATACCCGATCAACATGAAACCAATTGCATTAATTGCGTAAGCTCCGAAGCGATCTCTGATCCGAACCTTGCGTACGATGAACGGTTGGATTTCACACGCGAAGGCGTTGAAGCTGCTGTAAATTTTGGCCGCCAGACTTCAAGATTCCGGCTACAAACTCAAGACGACAACATCTTCATCTGAACACGAAATTGAGTTGTGCTTGTTGCAACGTCATCGTGATGGCATTCTTAGTGCAATTCAACGAAGAAACAGATGAAAAACATCAAAGAACGAGCGCACTATCGATCCGAAGTTTCAAGATTCATCCAAAATTCAAGTCTCATGATCATGGCTCAAAAACATGATTCATGGCTCGAAGTTGGTATCAAATCGATCGACATGCTGAGCCCTACAAGAAAACAATTATCTTTTGATTAAACGGCCATCAAAGCAACCCTGGATCAGTCATGGAAGATCACGCAAGTTCTCAAGCAGCACCAGGGACTGTTCTGAAATTCCACACATTGTTAAGCAAGGGCAAAACAGTCCTTTTGTACCCATATTTAGAAATTCTTTTAATTCAATTAAATTGTAATTATCTTCAATTCTAGAAAGTTTTTGGGCGTCCACCCATGTTTGGGCCCAATTCTATATAAACATGCAGAGCTTCATTGTTAAAGAACCTTTGGTTCATTTTTTCCATCATTCAATAAAATTTTCATTCTTGCTTAAGTTCGTGGGTGTATCCTTGAGAGAGAGAGAGGAAAAGGGCCGGTACCTCACGGTAAGGCAATTTTCTCTCTCCTCTATTCACTCTCGTCTCTCTCTTTCTCTCTTCTTTTCTCTCATCTCTATCTCTCCCTTCGTTTTCTTCTCTTTTTCTCTCTTCTCTCTCCTCTCATTTATCTCATGACTAAGATGATGGTCTAAGTCCCTTCCAAGGCGGCAGGCCTCATAGCCTGCACGAGCGGTAAGGACAGTCATTGCCTCTTTCTCTCTCTTCTCTTTCTTTCTCTTATTTGTCTCTCGTTCTCTCTCCTCTTTCACAGGCGGTGGAGGCGCATCACTGTCTGCAATTCACTTCTTTGTTCCCTTCTTTTCTTTCTCTTTTTACCCTTGCGATCCTGTATGACCACGAACTTCCTCTTCCCCCTTCCCTGTGGTCCCTCACGACCACAACTTTCTCCTCTCCCTTCTTGCGGTTCGGCATGACCACAATTTCTCTCTTTTCTTACTCCTTTATCCCCTGCACGTCCACCTACTCCATATGCACCCTCGGGTCTACCTCCTCTATCTTTTCTTGGTAGTCCCTTTCTATTTTTTATTTTTTTTGTCTACCTTCACATCATTTCCTTTTTGTGCACCCTCGTGTTCCTTTTTCTCTCTCATGCTTTGTGGTCCCGCGTGACCACTATTCCCCAAATCTTCATAACTTAGCGCCGTTTGTGCAATTTTCTTGCCATTGCTGCTCGTGTTAACCAATACATATTGTCGTTCGTGTTAACCAAAACCTATTGACGCCCGTGTTTTAATTTAATTTATCTCTATCTTCTTTATTTTATTTACCTTATTTTTCTCACCTCCTTCATTTTATTTCATTTTCTTTTATCTCATTTTATTTTATTTAATTTATTCAAGTTATTTTATCCTACTATCCCTTAACTCTATTTTTATTCATCTATTTTATTTTAATTATCTCATCTTATTTTCTTCCATCCCTTTTATTTTATTTTACTTCATTTTATTTATTTCACTTCACTTCATTCCATTTTAATCCTAATTCCATTTCCTAATTTTATTTTATCTTTATTTTTGTTTTAATTCATCTCTCTCATTTTTATTTCATCCTGTAACAAGGTGGGGACCTTGCCCCACTTGTCGGTACTTCTAATGTGTGTGTGTGTGTGCAGGAAAGGAGAAACAGGTCAAGGGAGGTGATTCCAAACCGACCATAGGCCAGGGGGGCATTCCAACATGATCTAAAAGGGCGCCTACGCGAGCCAGCCCGAGCGTGTCACGGACCCACGCGAGGTAAGTCCCGCCTCGCAACCCTAATTCCTCTCTCACCGGTTGGTAATACTTGCCCTTCTTCTTGTGCAAGGTTCCCGAAAGAGCGACCTCAAATCCCAAATTCTCTCGAAACCCGAGATACGTGCCGTCAGATCACCTAGATCCGGAGGGCGAGATCGAGACACCTAATCAGCTTGGCAACTCCACTGGGGCACCCTACCCCATCGTTAGATCGTTCTTGTTTGACCTTCCTTTCTTTTTATTCCTGCTCACTATACACATACCTTTTTTGGGGTTGCTTAACCCCTTCATCCGAGTCAGGGGTTTCGTGATCCCCGCACTCGGGAGTCTTCATTTTCCGCGAACCTTGTTCCAGACGTTTCTCCTGAGCATCGACCCTATGTCGCGCTCCCAGGTCGTCACCTAGATAGAGGTGAGGATGGACCTACAAGTCCCTCGCTCCCTACCTCCTTCCGCCAACGCACCTTGCATTGGTGGTGCGCACGCCACCACACACAGCATGCACCCTGCTACCAGCAACTCACTTGCCGGTCCCACTGCCCGGGGCAGCTCGAAGGCCACCCCTCCCTCTCCCGCGACTGACAGTTCAGCTGTCGTTGCTCGTGTGGGTCGCCACGAGGCTAGCCCCCCCATTCTTTATCACTTCGAGCCCCTGTAACAAGAGGCTCGACACCAAGAAGAGGTGGCTTTGAAGCCACTGCCTCCCACACACCCACGAAAGCTAGTGAACCATCCATGCTAGCCACACCTAGGGGCAACCCTCAGGTTACCTCAGGACACTGTCAGGGAGCAGGTCTTCTTGAACCTAACCTTGCACAACTTTTGCATGCACATTGCACCACTCGAGGCAACCCTCAGGTTACCTCGAGACACTGTCAAGGTCCGGGTCTTCTTGATCCTAACCCTGCACATCTTTCGCATGTACACTGCATCACTCTGGCCAACCCTCAAGTTACCTCGGGGCACTGTCAGGGTGCGATTCTTCCTTGACCTGGCCCTGTACACCCCTTGCATATGCACTGCACCGCTCGGGGCAGCCTTGTTGTTGCGTCTGCCCAAGCACACGAGGAGGAACCTATTGGTCTTTCCTCCCAGCACGTGTTTGCTCACTCTGTGAGGGATGGTCACACGGCCATTCCTTCATACGCACATGCTCGCGGCACCAGGCCTCTTAAGGCCGGACACGATACTCGAGCCATGGTTGACCTCCAGGTCACCCGAAGTCCTTCTGCAGAGGGCGCACACACGCCAATCCAAGCACACCTTTGCACAGTGCACACACGCACGGATCTAGCACTCCACTCAGTCCCAAGGGCAGTCACATGAATGGGTTGGAAGAACAGTTCGCCTTCGCTTGACGACAGTTCTACCCGAAAATGGGGCCGAGAGACCAAGACATTGAAAGCCCAGCTCAGGGACAAAGGAAAGAAAGTGATTGAAGATTTCCCTTCCAATGAGGAGAACCCATTCGCCCCTCTCATTCCCCTCGATGTGGATGATGCGAGGAAAGCATCAAATGAGGAGAACACCAAAACGGTTACTCGGGGCATAATGAAGCCGGTTATCTATGAAGATCCAAGCTTGACTCTAGGTGAAGCGAGCCTCCAAACGGGGCAAAGAGCCAGTCTGACCCCAGTGACCCCATAAATCCTGAGCCAGTTGAGGCATCACCTGATCAAGCTCCGGAGCCCCTTTCAAGTCGAGGCACCGAGAGCAAAGCCTTCTTCGAGCAAACTGAACTCGGAGCAGCTCATAGACCCGAGTCAGCTTCCCCTAGACTCCTGATGAGCCGGAAGGCACCGCCGCGAGGGTAACTCAAGTGAGACGGAAGCCGAACCCGCCGAGGGCGTTGCCCATGATCCCTTGGTGGTGGAAAGTTCAAACTATGAAGGGATTGGTCTTCTTCCCATAATGCAAGAGAATGATCCACCAGCACCTCCGAAAGTCTGC